TAGATAAAAACAGGCTTTTAGGTCACCGGCTCATTTAAGCACTGCAAATGTTGATCATTAATTGTTAATAAATATTTATTCTGTGTTACACAGTAATCAAGATTACTCGATAACCCAGGATTTGTAAAGTTAGCATTTCAAGTGATCCATAAATACAGCTGCAAGTTAATAATTATCTAACCATGCAATGCATTTAATTCATTTCCATTGTCATCAATACCACGGTTACCTGGGTTTGTGGGAGTGTGTGAAGAAATACCTTTTTATCCAAACAATTGCAACCCTGGGTCAGTATTTTAAAAGATTCAGTCTTGTTCTTTCTAGCGATTCTCAGATCACTAAACAAGAGGAACCACCCTGGGAACTTGGGAACCGAAAGCTGACACCAAAGCTTGGGTGCCCTTGCTCTATGTATAGAAGTTATTTGATCAAGGCCTTAGAGAAAAGAACCTCACACAAATGCAAACAAGGCCAAATTCTTTTCAGATAACAATCCACAATCTCACACTGCCTACCTCAAAAGGTAGAAGAAATACACAACTTCCAAAGTTTTGTTTTTCTCAAGTTAAGCATTTAAGTACCCATTTCAGTTATAAAAAGGGATTAAAAAAATATGTCGACTAAGATAATTAATATCAATGTGTTAATTTATTAATATCCCCACCACCACAGTTGTGGTTGGGGCATTTCTACAATTCAGCACCTTAACATGAAACATGTATATGTTTAATCATAAAAATATTCCAAATCATACATTTCAAATTATTTATACAACAATTGACACAAAATATCTACACTGTTATGGACAAATACATTTAGCCTATACTTCTATGAAATTATGAACACTTATTAATAGTATAGGCTGGTTTGTGATTGTAGCTCCGTGTAGCTTTGTTTTTCTGTAAAACCTCTATCACTCTCTGTTGTTTAAAGTGAAAAAATATTCCCACCATATTTCTGATATTATCTATCAACCTAATCTTGATAAAATATAACTTAATTCCCACCATATTTCTGATATTATCTATCAACTTAATCTGATTAATTTGATAGTTCGCTTTTATTCTAAAACCGCGAGTGCAGCGCACCTGCAGCGCGTTAGCATTCGTTAGCTTGTCATTGGCGTTTCCATTCATGCCTATTGCTGTTTTTTTTTCTTCTGTCTCTCGCTCCGTTTCTTTTCTCTCTCGCTCCGTTTTTTTCTTCTTCACAAGTTCATCAAACAACTGTGGTAAGTAAGAATCATTCATCAGTTTAGCTCTCTCTGTCGGCGACGAGGGATTCACATGTGATAAATACAGTGAAATAGTTAGGCTGACAGAGAAGATTTCAGAATTAGAGACACGCATCTAAACTTTAATTGAGGACAGTAAGAATGTGAGGGCTCTAGATACGGCTTTGGATGCGACTAGGTCAGGGAGTCCTGTACATTGTTTGGGTCCGGTAACAGAGCCTCTGCATTGGTTTTGTCTGGCCAGAGGAGAACTGGCCCCCCGACTGAGCCTGGTTTCTCCCAAGGTTTTTTCTCCATTCTGTCACCGATGGAGTTTTGGTTCCTTGCCGCTGTTGCCTCTGGCTTGCTTAGTTGGGGACACTTAATTTCCAGCGATATCGTTGACTTGATTGCAAATGATTGCAAAGATACTATTTAAACTGAACTGAGCTGGATGATGACATCACTGAATTCAATGATGAACTGCCTTTAACTGAAAAATGAGTGTTTACTATTATCATTTTGCAGTATTGACACACTATTTTCCTAATTAATGCTGTTCAGTTGCTTTGACAATCTGTATTGTTAGAAGCGCTATATAAATAAAGGTGACTTGACTTGACTATTTGATATTCCTGATAACCTTTAAAACAGAAAAGTGTATATTTCACTAAACAAGTGTACATTTCTTTTGATTTTTCTGTGTTCTTTGATTACTGTTAACATGCTCTAGTCTAGGCCTACATGAGTGTTTGTCTTGAAGGATAGACATTCAAAAATGATATTATTAAACTTTGATTAATAACTTAAATAGGATGGAAACAAAAGAGTGGACAAGAAACATAAAAGATTAAAGGTATATTTTTGTTTTAGACCCAAAGCATTGTGTGTAATATATAAAAAAATATTTTCTCTTTTTAATTAGCCCATTATTTATAATTATACATAAATGCAACATTATGCCATAGCCTGTATTAAGCACTAAAGGCACCGGATACAAGGAATAGGCCAGTTAAATGAGATAAACACAGCATACAGACATAGCCTGACCTCTCATCGCCTCTACAAGTCCACCCTATCATTTTTCCAGTCATGAAAAGTGTTAAAATGCACTGCCCTAATCTGTGAGCGCCAGCTCTCGTTCTGCTTCCCCCCTGTTCACCTGTTGCGAGGCTCACACTGTACTCGCGATGTTTTGAAGGCCGCCTGTAGGTGGAGTCAGGAAAACATCTGGTGATCCGCGCGCTCTCCGACGACGCGTCCAATAATCCGCCGCCGCACCGGACACCACGCGCAACGCGCAAGGCGTCAGGGACAAGAGCCCGACGTCTCCGAGACGAGTTAACGGTTGCGAGTGTGACACCAGAAAGCGTGCGGTCCATATGAACGCCCCATAGTTCTCAAGACCGACTGGGAGGCAACCACGGAGTGCACCAAATGAAGACATGAATAAGAAGGGATGAAGTCATCTCCTGCGCTTTATGGCCAGCAAACATCACCGATGAATGCAGTGATCGATCAAGCCACCGCTCAAGAGGCCTCCTCAATGCTGGAGGAGTCGGTCTCGCTTATGCGCAGAATGTCGCGGGAGAGGTGTGGAAAGAGGCAGGTTGAGATCTATTAATACGGACAGACCCATTGACCATTCAGCTCAGCCGCTTTGCCCAGCAGTGCAGCGCCAGGTTAACATTGCCCACCGCACCGCTGGCATCGGGCTATGGGCGCACCGTGCGGAACGCGGCGTTGTATGCGTTTGTTTGATGAATAAATGACATTGGCGTCTCTCTCGCGTATCATGCTGGTGGACCCTCCGCCGTCAGGCGCAGCGCTTCGGCTCCTGGACATAAACTGAAATACGGTGCAATGTGTTCGTTTTGGAAATTCAATAAGGTGCGCAATAAAACACCGTGTGAGTGCCGCGGAGCATCGGACAGGGTCGCAATCCACGCCGTGGCCTGCGTGTGAAACGCGCCGGAGAATGGAGAAGTTCCTGCAGATAGCGCCCCATTCCCTGGCCATAGTGCTGTCGCGGGTCAGCACCGAGGAGGCGGCCGCGGTCACCGAGAAGCTTCAGCACCATCACACCGGCTACGAGATATTCGCCGACTTCAAAGCGGAGAACATGCAGCACTTCTGGAATAAGAAAGTCACGGACGCCATATCGGAGACCTTCTTCTTGGGCTGGATAGATGAACATGTTCTGCTCATTCAAGGCAAGGAGGATCATTTGGAGGTCCTGAGGGAAGGATGGACGCGGAGAGCCCTCAAACCACCGCGGGGCTTCGAGATCAAGTGCATAGGTAAGCCTGAGCAAATGGCATCACACGGGGACCCTTGCTGGAAGGAAGCAGCCAAGTTGTTTTTCGAGGAATAATGTACCAGGGAGATATTTTAACACAGTGGGTGCAGAGGTTTGAGAGAAAATTGCCAACCTTCTCCATATTAAAGATGCCGGTAAGGTGCACTTGCAAATTGAAAATGCAGAAAATTTAGTATGAGGTTCTTATGAGGTGAGGTTTATCTGCTTGAAGAAATTCTGGACACGGTGGGCATTTTAAGAGGAATGCAAAAAAGTTAAACTAAATGCCTTGCCACGTGAGAAAATGCATTTTACTGTAAAAAGTAAAAGTAAAAAAAAGTAAACAAAAAAAAAAAGTTTGAGATAACATAATTTACAAAGAAAATGTATATTTAGCAAGGCAATATTTTGTTTATACTTTGAGGTAAGCGTTTTTAATAAGTAAAAATTCTAGTCACTTTATAATGTATTGGGATGTGGCATTCCCAGACCTCCTTGAGTGAACCATCACATTTTTTATTTGATTTTATTGAACTGTTGTACTTTGGAGAGTTTTGTGTTGCAGTTTGTTATTTATATTCATATTATTTTCATAAATATGTTAGCTGCATTTATATGATAAAGTCACCAGATGCCAGCTACCAGTTTGCTAGAACTAGTTGATTTATGTATTCATTTTCATGTCTGGAAAAAAAACTTTCTCCCTTTTTAAAATTTGACAACTTTGGAGAAATGAATGTGACGAGGAACTTGCAGTGAGATTTATTGTAAAACTGTAGGCTCTATGAAGTCCTTAAATGTTGCTTTTGAATTTGAGGTCAAGAGCCCAAGATACATTAAATCCAATGCTTCCTAGTGTCATGCAGAAACACATTTTATGAATGATTTTCTTATTGTAAAAACAACATGATCAAGGCCACTCTTGCTATTACTTTTAAACCATCCATTCTGACGGGTTCTTTGCTCTAACACTCCCATAAATCTTGACGTCTACTTGAAGGAGAAACAGGTTGAAAGTTAAAACATTGCACTGGATTATACATCATACAGAAATGAAGTTACACAAAGATGTGCTTTATCTCTGTGGAAAGTTCCTATACTTTAAGTGCCTCAAAACATTGATTTAATCAATTGTAATTTGTTTTATAATAATATTTATAATGTAATAACCTTTAACAACATATTAAAAAGGTCTAAATATTAGTAAATATCAAGAAAATGAAAAAATGTATCAGTTTGCATGTGAAGCATTTTATATTCCACCCGTAGTTGTTTTGACTCATCGTACATAAGGCTGTGGAAACAGAGGATATTTTCAAGAGTGAAACTGAAGAAATGGGCCTCCAATCACACATAATGCAAACATAAAACAAACCTGTACATATCACTGCACTATCAGCTCTCAAAGGGAAATTCTTCTCATTCCACTACCTGGTACTGAATGATTTGTTTTGGAATGTGGTGATATGTCTAGTATTTGCAGATTTGATGGGCTGATCTACATTCCAACTCATCAAATGATTGATTCTTCATTGTGAATGCAGTGATGTGGACTGTTGTATTAGTTTAAAGGAAACATTCAGTCTCTGGGTATTTTTCAGTTTTTTTTTATTTCCTAGGCCTATATACAGTATTTCATTATCTGACAAAGCCCTTTAATGAATCAGTTTATTGTTTTATTTGTTGTTTTATTTTATTGCTTTATTAGATTGTAAACAAATATATATAAAATAAAGTATTAATTCCTGCTTTAGCATCAGCTCATATATGGAAACACATGCTGTTATTATAGCAAAGAATTTGATAACAGATTTTTTGATTTTGCGATGTAGCGTCTTTTGTAGGAATTGATGTAGTCAACATTCTAAGCATTTATTGTCGTTTGAAAGGATTATTTTTGCTTATCATTCCCTATATCAATGATTGACAGAAAAACAGAAAGGCCATAACAATTTAACATAGTGACTTAAAAATGCAATATTTCTCTTCCTTTCCTCAGCATGTTAAAGGGGTGGTTGATTGCGATTTAAATTTTTTTTAACGTTAATTAGTGTGTGTTGCTGTTTGAGCATAAGCAATATCTGCAAAGTTACGACGATGAAAGATCAATGCAAACAGAGATATCATCTTTTAAAATTCTGGCAGTTTAATGCCTACAAAAACGGCTCGTAGGGACTACAACGAGTTACTTCCCGGGTTCGTGACATCACAAACCCAGATAAACCCCGCACTCGGGAAAAGGCAACGAAGGGGGCGAGGCCATGCTGTGCTGCTTTAGAGAAGAAGAAGAGAAAACTAGGGGTGCACGTAAAAATCTATTCATATATGAATCGCAATTCTGCCTTCTAATGGATTCACAAGTTTTCAAAATCAATGTTCTAAAGCAGCGGTTCTCAATCCTGTTCCTCGCGACCCCCAGCTCTGCTCTGCATCTCTCTCTGTCTCGCTCTCTCTCATTCAGATCATCAGCTCAGCTCCAACAATGAACTGTTCCATTTATACACTTTCACATAGCTATGAGAAGCGTTAAACATGGACGCGTGTGCGGTTGCCATACTGTATTAAAGCTTTAATCAGGATAAAACCGTATATTAAAAGCTAACAGAAGCAGTAGCATTTACAAATAACAGCGTATCTAAAGGTAAGAGACAACAACAAACAAAAAACATACCATTAAGAGTCATGCTTGCACAGGTTCTGCGCAATCCTCTTTACTAATATCCTCTGCGTCTCAATCGGGCTCAAACTGATAAGCAATATAGACAATGCCATTGTTTACAATACAACCGGGGCACATGCCGCTGAGGTGAGGGGTGGGACGGTTAGACGTGCATTAGAGGCGGTTTAGCCAATCACAACACACTGGGCTAGCTAACCAATCAGAGCCCAT